ACTTTTATCCAAAGCGACATACAATTGCTATGTCACAGGGTTGCACACCTCTGGAGCAACTAAGGGTTAAGTGTCTTGCTCAGGGACACATTGGTGTCTCACAGTTGATACGAACCCGGTCTCTCACACCAAAGGCATGTCTCTTCCTCTTCGCAATACACACACAATAGGAAAGAGCGCTTCATGAATAATCATCTTATTTATCCCCACCTGTTCTGTTCCCTGTCACACACATCTTCAGAGGTGATATTTTTAGTTCATCCCCAGTGAAAATAAATGGAAACAGCCTCTCAGTGAAAGTGTGTGAAGGTCTGTATGTGTGTGTTAGTATCAGGATCAGAGAACGACAGCTCTCCACTGTTCCAGTCCAGATTCACTCTGATCCTCTGGTGGCTTCTTCTGCACTTTGAGAACAGTGGGTGGATCTGGTAATGACCATGCTGAGTATTTACCTTCATGGAACCACATTCCCCATAATCCAAAATGTATGAGTCCCGTCCTCTGGACAGACTCTGCTAACACACCCAGTGACCAGACTACACTGTCTCCAACCTCGACATCCCAGCTGTGAGTCCCTGAGTTAAAGCCCTCAGAGCCCAGAACAGACCAGTATTTATCAAACCTCTGGATGTCGGGAAGCTGCTGTCTCTCTCCTCCCCTCACGCTGGTCAGATCTTCAGACAGAAGGAGTCTTGGATTTGCAGTGTTTGGATCCAGAATCACAGGAGTGTAGGAGACCATGTCCTTCATCTTGTTCCAGATGTTGAAGGTCAGGTTGCCCAGGTGTTTGGCCTGGTCTATCAGAGCTCCTGAGGGCAGCTGTGGATCATCCAGCAGGGGGCGCTGCTGGACTCTTTCCACTGCAGCTTTGTAGTTGAGCAGGAATGAGACGTCTTCAGCTCTCAGCTCCTCCTCTGTGGCTCTGACTGTGTCTGAAAGAGCTGCTATCTCTCTGCTCAGAGCCTCCATCTTCTCCTTCATCATCTGACTCTTCTGCTCCTCTTCCTCCCTCAGTGCAGCCATCCTGGCCTCCTCTTCCTCATATAGAAACTGGTGAAGCTTCTTAAACTGCTCCTTATCTGCTCTCTGTGTGTCGGGCCTGGACCTTAATGTGTTCTGCTGTTTGGTCAAACTTCACTTTAACTTGTTCACAAACCTTTAACTTCTCCTTTAAGGGCTCCAGAGTTTCCTGAAGTTCCTTCTTGTGTTGTCGTGCAGCTTCATCGATGGGTCTGAATCTGTGGTTGCTGTGCTTTTCTGAATCTCTGCAGATGAGACACACTGGCTGCTGATGGTCCAGACAGAAGAGTTTGAGTTTCTCAGAGTGCAGACTGCAGAGAGCCTCTGAAGCTCTCTGATCTCTCTCCAACAAGAAGGCCTCACACAGGTTCTTCAACACCCGGTTACAATGTGGTTTATTCCTTGAAGATATTCTCTTACAAACTGGACACTCACGTGCTTGTTTCTGTCTCCACCAGCTACTCAGACAGTTTTTACAGAAGCTGTGGCTACATGACAAAAGAACGGGATCTCTGAAGACGTCCTGACAGACCGGACAACAGAGTTCGTCCTCTAATCTGAAAGCCATTTTGTATCTGATGAAGCTGAAAACACAGCAAAAGAAAGTAAAAGTAGAAAGAAAGTACAGTTAGTCATGGCATCCCGCCCTCATAGTCTGCTAACTTCACTTTGAGTCGTGTTTATTTAGTCAAACTCACCTTCAGTGTGTGGAGCGTCTGCAGGTTGAAGCAGCAGTGTTGTAGTTTTCCTCTTTTCTCTCCTGTAGCTGAACTCACTCAGAAGAAGTTGTTAATTTGGTCTGAAGGTGAATCTGATCATCTCTTCTCTTAGTCTGTGTGTCACTTTAGAGAGGAAAAAAACAATCTGTTTCCTGGTTTGTCTCAAGTGAGTCAGATGTGGGCGGAATTTTTTCTACACCTACTTTGCTGAAAGTTTTCCTTTCACGTGTAACACAGGGGTGTTTGTATTGATTCCTCACTGTAATGTAGCCTGCTGCACACTAAGTACACTAGGCTACTTGAGTAAGTGTACACAAGGTAAAAACAAAAACACCTCTACTCCTGTTGGAGATGTTTTGTCTTCTCTTATTTAACGTAGAGAAACACAGAAATATATTCAGTTCTTAAATCACCAACATTACATAAAATCTGAACCCAAACGGAGATATGAAGTATGCAATTTCCGGTAAAGTTATCAACAATAAATATGCAACGTCCGGTTACACTTTCAAAATAAAACGCCAGTGTTTCGAAACATCGCCATTTCGAAAGGGTGCATTATTAAAGTCGTGAAACGTTGCAGTTTGGTTAGGTTCAGGCACAAAAAGTAGGCTACTTGATTGGGTTTAGGCAACAAAACTGCTTTGTTAAGATTAGAAAAGATCATGGTTTGGGTTAAAATAACTATGTCACTTAACCCTTAAGAGTTCCTTTAAAAAACTCACACATTTGTCCTTAGGGACAAAAATGGCTCCTTCCCAAAAACTGCTGTAAAATATCATAAATTAAATTTTTTTAGTCAAACTCACCTTCACTTACTGATACACACACTGCACACACTAGCCTACACCACATCCCTTCATTGAATGATGACCACACTTAAGCTCACCTCTTAGAATGTACGCAGAGTTGGTTCAAGAGAAAAGATTAAAAAATTTTAACCATCTAAATAATCTGCAAGCAGACATTGTCCTATTACAGGAGACTCATTTATCCAAGACAGTAGATAACTATACTCACCACAGTTTCCTCACTCGAACTCAGCCTGCTATAACTCAAAACAAAGGGGTGTCACCATGGAATATGACAAAAACACTTCAATCATAATACCACTAATATAGATCCAGAGGGTCGATTTATTATTGTTAATATTTCGATTCAAAATACTCCTTTGTGCATTGCTTATATCTATGGCCCAAATGTTGACGAGCCCTCCTTTTATCATGCTTTCTTCCATTCACTCTCTGCTCACTCAGACACAGCTCTTATATTAGGAGGGGACTTCAACCTGGTATGTAATCCAGCAGTTGACAGGCTCAGTACGGCAGCTGGTCACTGTATTTGGAAATCAACAGACACTCTTAAACAATACATGAGCAATTTTGGTCTCTGCGATGTTTGGCGTTTTCACCACCCCACTCAAAGAGAATATACCTTCTTTTCACCAGTCCACCACTCATATTCTCGCCTTGACTATTTTTTGGTTAGCAGCTCAATTATGACAGACATTTCCAACACTCAAATTCACCCAAAATCACTATCAGTGATCATACACCAGTTTCTATCACTCTTACTAAAAAAAGGGTCACACGGCCGACTAGAAGTTGGAGATTTAATGCATCATTGCTTAAAGACCTAGATTTTGTAAGTTATTTCAAAAAGGAATGGGCAAAATATACCGAAACTAATAACCTGCCAGGGTACTTTGCCATGTCTTCTTTGGGAGGCAGCAAAAGCATTCATGAGAGGTTAAATAATCTCCTATTCATCATACAAAAACTAGAACAAAAAATAAAAACATTACACACTGCCCTTGCTGCCTCTCCACAGGAACACATGCTGAATGATCTGAGAAAATCAAAACTTGAATTAAATGAAATTATTAATAAAAAACCCAATTTCAGTTGCAAAGACTACACTTGGAAAACTTTGAACATGGCAATAAATCCAACAGATTCTAAGCCAACCAACTGAAATTGAATAAAGAAAAAATAACAATTTCCTCCTTAAAGGACTCAGCTGGGAATCTGACTTATAACCCAGAAGAAATCAAAAATGCATTTAGAGATTATTATAAAAACTTACTATACATCACAAATTGACCCATCTAGCTCTAACATCTATGCATTTCTGAACAATATAGATTTGCCAAGATTAGTTGATGAACAGATCAGGGCTCTGGATTCACCTGTTTCAATGGCTGAACTCCAGGAAGCTCTCTTACATATGCTGAATAATAAAGCCCCTGGGCAAGGTGGTTTTCCAGATGAATTCTTCAAGGAATTCTGGGAAATACTTGCGCCCACATTCTATAGGATGGTTATACAAATTAGGGGTACTTGCATGTTTCCTCCAACAATCAACTCCTGCTCCTTAAACCAGACAAAGACCCCACACTCCCGTCCAGTTATCGCCCAATATCACTTATTAACGCAGATCTTAAAATCATCTGCAAAACCCTAGCAAGAAGGCTAGAGAAGGTCACTCCTGGTATAATACACTCTGACCAAACAGGATTATTAAGGGCAGGCAATCCACCAACAATACACGCAGGCTACTTAACGTAATAGACTGTGCCACTATTCATAACCTGATAGTTGTTTCTTTAGATGCAGAGAAAGCATTTGACAGAGTAAATTGGAAATTTCTATTCGCTACTTTACATAAATTTGGATTTGGAAGCTCTTTCGTAGATTGGATTAAAATCTTATACAGTTCCCCAAGAGCTTCTGTCAAAACAAATTATCATTCTTCTCCATGCTTTAGTCTCCAGAGGGGTACCAGAAACTACACGCCTTTACTAAAATCACTAGAGGATGACCTTGTACGGTGGACATCATTACCTATATCACTCATGGGAAGAGTCTCCACCATAAAAATGATGGTCCTACCTAAAATCAATTACCTGTTTTCAATGTTACCCACCAAACCCTCTGCTGTCTGGTTTAAATCACTGGACTCAAACATCTTAAAATTTTTGTGGGAAAATAAACCCCCACGAATCAGTTTAAAAACTGCAAAAAGCAAAAGATTGTGGTGGTTTAGAACTGCCAAATTTACATCATTACTTCCTGTCCAATAGACTACAATATATCTCAAAATGGACCAATCAAAGCCCCCTGGACCACTCATGGATGGACATAGAACAAACATTTTGTAAGGAAATAAAATTTTCCGATATGCCATTCATCAGTTCCAGAATCAAACATCATACCTGCTTTAAAAGCATTAACATAAGCACTTCCCTGGCAACTTGGTGGGAATATGGAATTAGCCATAATGGGGGGGGCATGGCTCCCCTGGCGTGGGGGCCGGCTCTGGACCTAGGGGTCTGGGGACTCAGGCTTTTGCTCAACTGGCCTTGGGGCCAGTTGTCTCCTCTCCTCGCCTGGGCCCTCTTCGGCAGGGGTGGGGCTCCCGCTGCGTCCCGCTGCCGGGGTGGGTTTTGGGTTGATCCGGTTGCAGTTTGGAGGGCTGTGATGGGATTGTAGAGCGATTGTCGATGCATCTTGATGTATTGTTTTTTTTTTTTTAGGTTTTTTTTTCTCAGGGTCTCTGGATGGCTGCTGGGCGTTTAGTTTGTGCATTGGAGTCCTAATATTCCTAAAGTATAGTAGTATAGTCCTAAATATTTTCCATTACTACAGGATGATGTCGTCGATAACTCATGGGTGGATGACTATGGCAAAGAACTGGGGAAAAGAAATTTAACATTTCTCATTCCTGAAGAAAAATCAGAGAGGACAAGAGCAGGGTCAAGCCGTTTAAGGATGCATGTTTTTTATTATTATTATTATTATTATATAATTTCAAATAGAAATCTTGTTATTATAATCAACATATATTGTAAAGATTTTCCTTTTAAAAAACGTCAATATACTGTTCTAAAACAGGTAATCAGCTGTGTGTGTTCATTGGACTTTTGGACCATTCTTCTAGAAGCGCATTTGTGAGGTCAGGGACAGATGTTGGATGAGAAGGCCTGGCTCGCAATCTCTGCTCTAATTCATCCCAAAGGTGTTCTGCCGGGTTGGGGTCAGGACTGTGCAGACTAGTCAAGTTCTCCACACCAAACTCACTTATCCAACTTATGGACCTTGCTTTGTGCACTTGTGCGCAGTCATGTTGGAACAGGAAGGGACCATTCCCAAACTGTTTCGACAAAGTTGGGTGCATGAAATTGTCCAAAATGTCTTGGTATGCTGAAGCATTAACAGTTACTTTCACTGAAACTAAGGGGCTAAGCCCAACCCCTGAACACCCCCACACCAAACTTTACGCAGTCAGGCCAGTACCATTCTTTTGGCAACCGCCAAACCCAGACTTATCCATCAGATTGCCAGACAGAGAAGCGTGATTCGTCACTCCAGAGAACACGTCTCCACTGCACTAGTGTTTAGTGGCGGCGTGCTTTTCACCATGTATCCGACGCTTTGCATTGCACTTGGTGATGTAAGGCTTGGATGCAGCTGCTCGGCCATGGAAACCCATTCCATGAAGCTCTTTACGCACTCTTCTAGAGCTAATCTGAAGGCCACATGACATTTGGAGGTCTGTAGCTCTTGACTCTGCAGAAAGTTGGCAGCTTCTGCAGATGCGCCAACCCCGCTCTGGGATTTCTACCAACCAACCCAATCTATAGTATTTGAACAAGATACTTACGACTACACGAGTCACACTTCTGGCATTTCGGTAATAAGTTTAGTACTTCGGTGTATTCGTCGTTTCCACATTTTTTACATATGTACTGTCCTGCTCAGTCACCGGCCTTATGATATCCTGGGAAACGGAGAAACGGAGAAAGGGAATGAGTTAACCTGTGATAATTCCACAATAATTCTTCAACACAAGGCTAATGCATGCAGTTCCTTGTTATAACTTACCAGCTGGACACATTGCATAACATGAATTACTGGTTTGTTCCGTCCGCTCTGTGTAACTCTGTCCAGTGGAAAGGAAGGCAAGTGTCAGTGAGAAAACCTGAAACAAAAGAGGAGGTATGAAGAGGTGAGGTACTGTGTGGAGAGGAAGATGCTAACAAACCAACTGGCCTGACATTTTCACACCACAGCTGCCATCAAGAAGGGCAAGCAAGGTTCAGAACAACTCGTCAAGTCATTGCACAGCCATATGTTGCTTTTTCATTTTCATACATCTTTGATATCAAGCAAGCAGGTCTTCAGCTTGGTGGATAGGTTAGTGGTGATCTTTAACTCCTTGTGGACTACCCTGAATGAGGCCAGAGGATCAGTATGAGTGGCACAAACATTTTAAAGGGTATCAAAAACCTGGCATAAACATGGCAGTGGGTGCCCAGATTATACCCTCATCTTAAGCCATTCTCAATCAGTCCTAAACAAGGGTTTGCCAATTTCCTGATGGTCAGATGGAGCCATGAAACAATCAAAACTGTAGGTGCCCATTACCTGATGCATCTTGATGAGGAATGAACCCCACCAATTGCTAACTGCCAGAACATTTTGATCTTTGTGAGCTGCAGCTCACTATTATTTTTTTTACCAAAACCCCTGAAGAGGTCCTTTACACACACATTTTCTAGCCTACATTTTCTAGCCTACAGTTTGAATGCCAAGTCAATGAGGGAGGCAGAGAAGAGAAAATAAAGCAAAATAGGAGCCTTATGAAAGAGCTGTTTAAAGTTAAAAAGAATCTAAATCTTAAGAGCCCCAGAGCTCAGTTTAACAAGGTTGCCAGTGGTACGAATTGCGTGGATTTATTTATTCACCTCCTCCTGGACCCAGCACACCACCTAACAAATGTTGGCTGCCCAATAATATACATATCATTCGGCAGTTCTCCATCTCCCTTCTGCCATTCTGAAAACACGTGTGTTCATTTAATTCCTTGAAAAGTGACCTTGGTAAAAGAATAGTATTGGTATAAAAAATGTATTAATCACCAGAGTTAAATCTGCCAGCCAGCAACAAAAGAAGGGTTGGCTACTACTCAATATCTTGTTTGGCTTTATCCAGGGCTATCTTAAAATTATTGCGAAACAAATTCTTATATCTTTCAGTCACAGACACACCTAAATATGTAAATCTTAGAGCAGTTAATTAATCAATTAGTTGACTGTCGAAAGTTACCAGCAACTATTTTGATCTCCGCAAAAATGTCAACCCTTCAGTGGTTCCAGTCTATAAATAATGGATATTTTCTGTTCTTCTTTGTAAACTGAATATATTGGACTGTTGGTCAAACAAAGTAGGACATATGAAGATGTCAGCTTGGACTTTGGGAACACATATTGCTATTTGCTGACATTCTACAAACCCAATGTAATAGAGAAAACCATCGGTAGATTAAACAATAATGCAAATAAGTTTAAGTAGCAGTCTGATCAAATTTATAAGGTTATTAAATGTGTAGACTTATTTTTGTTACCAGAGCGGCAAGACCACATTAGAGAGCCCCATTAACCAAGAGACCTCTGCCACTTCACTCATCCACATAACTTCAAGTTTCCTATCAATCAGCATTACAACTTTGGTGTTTTGCAGCAACTGATAAGAAGCAACATGATAAGCCAACAGTGAGATTGTGTGTATATACGCACTTTATGACTTTCTCACATTACTCAAGGACATACAAATGACAAGTTCTTAAAAGACCATAAGCGACATACTGTGTGTTTGTTCGGTTGCTTTCATGGCAACAGCAATAATGTGACAGACACTACAGTTCCTGTATCAGTGAGTAATGACTATCTGAAATCCACTCACAGAAACTAAAATAAGTGTCGCTGAAATGACGACGACAAAATAAAATGATCTGTACTGGATTGCTTACAACCAACTTTAGATGGTTGTTAGTTTCACTCATTTGAAGACCAAAAAAAAGTTTGATTATTGCAGTATATCACCAGATATAACTCAATTTACTCACTGAATGAGGCAATCTGACTTTTAGCCATCTGTTCCTTTTAAAGCTGACTCAAATAAAGTGTTAAAGGAACCCTGCGTGTATGTCTGTCGGTGTTTGTAAGTCAGAGATGTCAGTTCTTTGGAGTTTTCAGGGAAGTAGTGCGAAAAACAGGAAACACAGTAAAGATCACATAACACCCCCCCACACACACTGTCACATACAGTGACATGACTCTTGGTGGCAACGCCAGCGCAGGAGTTCCTTTGCCTGATTCCAATAACTCCGCCTCTGTGAAAACAGTGTCAGACACAAGGACTGTGGACATGTGTGTGACTAATTCAAGAGCCGGATACAGGGGTTGGATGTAAGTGGTGGTATGTGTTCTTACTGTGTTTCCTGTTTTTCACACTACTCTGAAAAGTTGGTTGTTTAACTTGCTCACGGACAACTCTTCAAACATGGACTTTGTCTTGGTAAGCAATCCAGTACAGATCATTTTATTTTGTCGTCGTCATTTCAGCGACACTTTATTTTAGTTTCTGTGAGTGGATTTCAGATAGTCATTACTCACTGATACAGGAACTGTAGTGTCTGTCACATTATTGCTGTTGCCATGAAAGCAACCGAACAAACACACAGTATGTCGCTTATGGTCTTTTAAGAACTTGTCATTTGTATGTCCTTGAGTAATGTGAGAAAGTCATAAAGTGCGTATATACACACAATCTCACTGTTGGCTTATTATGTTGCTTCTTATCAGTTGCTGCAAAACACCAAAGTTGTAATGCTGATTGATAGGAAACTTGAAGTTATGTGGATGAGTGAAGTGGCAGAGGTCTGTTGGTTAATGGGGCTCTCTAATGTGGTCTTGCCGCTCTGGTAGCAAAAATAAGTCTACACATTTAATAACCTTATAAATTTGATCAGACTGCTACTTAAACTTATTTGCATTATTGTTTAATCTACCGATGGTTTTCTCTATTACATTGGGTTTGTAGAATGTCAGCAAATAGCAATATGTGTTCCCAAAGTCCAAGCTGACATCTTCATATGTCCTACTTTGTTTGACCAACAGTCCAATATATTCAGTTTACAAAGAAGAACAGAAAATATTCATCATTTACAGACAGGAACCACTGAAGGGTTGACATTTTTGCAGTGATCAAAATAGTTGCTGGTTAACTTTCCGACAGTCAACTAATTGATTAATTAACTGCTCTAAGATTTACATATTTAGGTGTGTCTGTGACTGAAAGATATAAGAATTTGTTTCACAATAATTTTAAGATAGCCCTGGATAAAGCCAAACAAGATATTGAGTAGTAGTCATCCCTTCTTTTGTTGCTGGCTGGCAGATTTAACTCTGGTGATTAATACTATTCTTTTACCAAGGTCACTTTTCAAGGAATTAAATGTACACCCGTGTTTTCAGAATGGCAGAAGGGAGATGGAGAACTGCCGAATGATATGTATTATTATTGGGCAGCCAACATTTGTTAGGTTG